TTCCTATGTGACCATATCTGTTATTTTTGTTTCAATTTTATGTAAGGTTCTTGAATTATTTATTTTAAGCTCTCAAAATTATTAGGAATTCTTCTCTCGTTATATGTAACCATGCAATCTCTGACATGTAACTTGTGATCAGGAGAAATAGTATGATTGTAAATATCAACTGTCAACCAGATTTCAAATGACGTGGATATACGTAATTAAAGTTAGATACATATAGTATATTCAGCAATAAAATACCCTATAATGAAAAATGTGAAAAAATACAAAACGAGAAAACTAAGGAAATGATTTTTAACAAAACTAATTTCGAAAAAAAAAATATGACAGACTTGAACCAACGACTACCACTTACATGCTCCTGACTATGGACAGGCATATACAGAGTGTGACGGGGTTAACAATTTGTGTGAGCGCTCAACCCTTCCCCTAATCTGGGACAGGGGTTTAACAGCATAACATGAAAACAAATTGTAACTGACTTAACTCAATAAATCAGTATGAAGTACACAAAAATAAAAACAAAGAAAATAAAAACAATAAAAGCACCGATATTAGGGTACTCTCAGCTGCTTAAAGTTAGTTTAAAGTCAAACTTATATATAAATCATGTTCTCAAAGTATCAATCAGTGCACATACAACAAATTTTGTATAAAGGTGTCATAATTAGTCTGTGAAACGCATGGCAATGTGCAATGCCAAATATAAGTAAACAGTATCTTCGGGACATTTCAGTCTATTGAAAATTAAAATCGGTTTTGCCGAAATCTGCATACAAGCCTCTAAGAAAATTAAACTTCTTTCAACATTTTAATATGTAGTTCATGTTTACTCACCAAATTTACGGGAATAAGTATCACACCAATAATAATGAATCAACAGTATATTCTTAAAGCATTGCAAGACACAACCTTGACTTACCTGTAAAGTTAGTTTTACTTGTTCTCAAGTGTTCACACTAAGCCGCCTAAACATTTCTAATGCTGGTCAGTTGAATCTATACAGACTTTTTAAAAAATCAGTGTACAGCCTGTGGTTGCAAAATCTAATCGTGGGTTCTGTTGACAGGTGTCTTGGAAACTAATCGATACATCCTACTTATGTATATAATATCTGAAAAAAGTGGTATGATAAAAAGTTAAATCACAAAAATACTGAATGATGTTGTTATTATGAAAACTCTAACCATCTCAGTACTAAAATAGACAACAGAGAGGTCTTCATTTTTGGTGGAGTTGTCTTCCCTGTATCATGCACATGTATCACCATCAGTATTGGTAGTGAAGTTTCTTCCGAATTGTGGCAATTCTTCATCGTGCACAATACTGCAAATGATAAGAAATTATAACAAATAAGATACATATATGTGTATTTACGTGTACAAAGGATAAAAGTTATAAACAAACTGAATGAAATATTGGTTGGCAATAAAATGTCATAGATTCATTAAAAATGTAACAGCTTGCATAGACGACTTAGTTAAGTAATTATGCATGCATTGGTTCAATAATTCCTTAACATTATAATGAAAAGAAACTCGTTTATATGACTTTGACATAATTGGTGAAAGGATCATTCTGCATCAAGATTAGAATTATAGCCATTGTGGTCAGTTAGCATCAACTTCAATACTACATTTATCTACTTACGAGAATTTTCAAATTTAGATTATGATCTTTAGCGGAGAATTCCGGGAAAAAACAACATACTTTGTGTTACATAATTGCTTAGTCATTGATTCAATTACTATCAGGTTAAAATACACAAATGAATTTTAATATATTTTTAAGAGCTATCTCAAATACACCTCACCTACCTGCTTAATTTTGTATGTATTTAATCACCCTATTAACGAAATAAAGCATACAAAAGGACTCATGACAGAGACATCTATGATAGATCTTATCTGATCCGCACGAAGATCATAATTCTTAATCTCAAGTATTGCCTTAACTAGAGTTTGATTCCTAATATCTGCTCGCCAATCTCATCCACGGCTTCAATTTTCCCTATGGAAAAAATTGTTTCATCTGATAATATTTTCATATTTTCAGAACGTAGTACATATATCACACACAATAAATCCTTTGTATTGCTGTTACTTTCCAAGTATGCCAAACATTTGGGTAATTTTTGTATAGAATGAAAGTTTGGCGACATTGGAACTTTTGTTTTGAATGATAAAGCACAAGCATGTTTTAGGTCATTTTTTTATTTCAATGAATACGTTACCATCAAAAATTGTAACCAGTCCACTTTGCTAAGTCTGAAAGTTACATTCGACTTACGTCTTCAGTTTTTTGTACAGCAGAGCTATTTTAGTTGCTGCTGGATCTTTATTTAAGGAAGGACAAAGGAGAGTAGTTTGAACAACTCAAAACTTTCATTCTAGGTGAACGAAAGCCTTGGCGTTTCACTGCTTTTTATAATGAACACCTTGCATTAATTGGTCAACCTTATACTGCGACAAACCGACAGCAGTTGTTTGATAAGTCACCAAATTATGTTAGTGAAACTCTGTTGTTTTCTCAAAAAGTCAGGGGCAAACTATTTGGCTTTCCTATTGGAACGCTTAAAGGAGAAGTTAGTTAAACACCACCTACTGTGAAGAAATATAAGAAGATGTGGTATGAGTGCCAATGAGACAACTCTCCATCCAAGTCACAATTTGTAAGAGTAAACCATTATAGGTCAAAGTACGGCCTTCAACACGGAGTCTTGGCTCATAAAGTACAGCAAGCTATAAAGGGCCCCAAAAGTGACTAGTGTAAACAAACAACAAACGACAACCACTAAACAACAGGAAGCTTGATCAACAAGTAATTAGTGAAAACAATACGTCACAGGTCCGTTCTATGCCTCTCTATTCAGATAACCTATATTATCTGGGGCCTTTCGTGCCAGCGCAACAAATAATTTCCCTCTGAATTTCCAAGGGGAGTTAGAATTCAGCCATCTAAATTATTAAGTAACTATGGTTTCGACCGACTCGGACAAACTTTGCCGTAGATGGATATTTACTATTATTTTTAGGTTCTTTCTGGCCATATAGCTCTTCAGCTGTGTCGGTTCGATACCGCTGCTGGTAGACTATCAGTCTCCGAGGGTGTCATCAGCTCAGTAATCAGAACTTCGGTACTGACATGATTTCTAACAAACCTTTCTTAAATTATCCGTTAATAAATTGATAAATTATAAAGAAACAAAGGTATCAAATTCCTCATTCAAAAAAAGGATTTGACTATTATCTAAATATTTCACTAATAACATGGAAAGTTTTATGTATTAGAGGTCTTTCATTTTATTTTACAGCTGTAGATCTACATGTACAGGATAGTGAAGTGTGTATCGGTCAATTAACCATCAACGCACACAGATGTTTTTTTTCCGTAATGACACAATTCCATATACTTCATACTTGTACAAGTATATTGTATATGTATGAAGATGTACAATAGTTGTGTATAGGATCATTGATATACATGTATAATGTATCATACCTGTGACATATATTTGAATTAACACAAATGCAGCTTCATGATTTTGACCTGTACTTCAAAATACATTTGTATTGAACTCGCTTTTAAATAAATATATGAATAGTAAAAAACGCTTTCCCTATCAAAGCCTTGGATCTCATTACTTTTATGTATCATGCAATTACACTTTTATCTGCAAATATTTCTTTTACCACGTCATGAGCATTTGGTCTCATAAACATTTATACAGCTGTATGCTGTTATATTAAGTTGAAAGATTAATTTTTCTCTTAACCCCCATCCATAATCATTTGAACTGGCCTTTTAACATTAACTATCCTAACGTGTTATCTCTTTAGTAAAAAATACAAACTGCAATATCCTTATGTTGATTATATAACTGTTCAGGTCAATGTACATATTCTTAATTTCTCATTCAAATATATCGAATGGATATAGGAAGATGTGGTATGAGTGCCAATGAGACCATTCTCCATCCAAGTCAAAATTTATAAAAGTAAACCATTATAGGTCAAAGTACGGTCTTCAACACGGAGCCTTGGCTCACACCAAACAGCAAGCTATAAAGGGCCCCAAAAATTACTAGTGTAAAACCATTGTAACGGGAAACACTTATGAACCACATCAACAAACGACAACTACTGATCATCAAATTCCTGACTTAGGACAGGTGCAAACAATTGCAGCGGGTTTAAACGTTTTAATGGTACCAAACCTTCACCCTTATCTGAAACAATAGTGTAACATCACAACATAGAAAGACACATTATAAAATATCAATTGAAATGGCTTAACTCAATCAAAAGACATATTAACACCAGAGAACATACACTGAACAAATAAATTTGATCTATGATACAATGCAAATACAAAATAAATAAACTAAGGGAAGAATAATTAAAGTAACATGTTATACCGCTGTGAAATGTTAAACAATTTAAGAAAAACAATATGCTTGAACAAAAATATCAGCCATTTGCAATTACTTTAAACACAGGTAAATGAAAATAATTTTGAATGCATGTATAAAATTTTCAAGAGAGGCGAAACATATCCAAAGGATATTCAATCTCGACAGGCCATGACAATGACACAACATAAGAAACTACATACTGAGCAATACAAAAGGTTGATCTCAGTTCTTTCTGTAGGGTAAAAAGTAAAATAACAAAAATACCGAACTCCGAGGAAAATTCAAAACGGAAAGTTCCTAATCAAATGACAAAATTAAAGCTAAAACACATCAAACGAATGTATTACAACTGTCATATTCCTGACTTGGTACAGGCATTTTTTTATGTAGAAAATGGTGGATTAAACCTGGTTTTATAGCTATCTAAACCTCTCACTTGTATGACAGTCGCATAAAATTCCATTTTATTGACAACGATGTGTGAACAGAACAAACAGACATAATAGGTACAAATGTCAAAAAAAGGGTTACAGCAGTCAACATTGTGTTATGATCTTAATCACTATAAAAGCAAACAAACAGGTCCATCTCCCCAGGTGGTACCTGTCGTGTTGTTCATGTTAGTGCAAACCCGGTGATTAGTCTAATTCGTTAGGTCAAGGAAAAGAGGACGGGATTGTGGTAACGACAATTGGGACATCTGTGAAGGCTAGCCTTCCAACACCTTGTTCAAAAGTTTTATTTTCTATGTAGGACTGTTTGCTTATCTACAATTTTTACTTCCCTTGCTACAAAAACTGTCTAAATTCAATGAAAGAAAATGTTGTCAACCACTCAACAACTAGTCTTATATAATTAACTATGTTTTTTTGTTGCCTGATATGCATAACCACTGATTGAACTGATGAGTTCCTTTACATGTAATCACATTTTTTAACTGAATTTAGTATCATATTTTAGAGTATCAAAAGCAAATTTTTCGCTTTTAATCTTGGACATATTTCAAAAGATCTGATAAATTGTTTTAAAGCTTTACTGTGAATGTTAGTTTCGCCGTGGGAGTTTATAATTAATTGTGTTTACAACAGAATTAAAAACCAAGTCAACATACTGTTTGTAACCTCACAGTCATTGGAATTTTCCAGTGTTTCTCCTGAAAGTTATCCTTCATTGCAAGTGTTTTGTGACTTTCCTAACGCGTGCTACTATTTCAATATGAAAGATTTTCCACATTTGCCTCGTAGACAGCATAAGTCTGTATCCACATTTCTTTATTAACAAGCAAACAAGATGCGATAACATTCTCAATTTTATATATATATATATATTTGTTATTGTCATTTTCATCATAAAGTCATTTAAAAAGGTATCGTAAAGAGAATTTATTTCATTGACGAAATATGAGTTGGAGTAATTTAATTGGCCGATAAGTTTAAGGAATATTTGCCTGTAGATTTTGATTTTGATTTGCCACTAAAAAAAAAAAAACGTTTTGAATAAAAAAAAAATCATAACTGAAATACACGGAAAATACAATATAATGCATACAGGTACGGAATTGTCTGCATACGTTGCTATTCATATGTTCTGTTTTTGCGGAGATCTACGGGATCACATGATGAATAAAAGTAATGGTTTCTATTATTTTCATCAGCAGAATACTACCTGATGTTGTTTAAAATGATAATAATAAAAAAAACAACACTTCAGTTTATTTTGTGAGCAATAATCACCTTCTTACTACTTATTATCACGTGTTACCCCTCGGAACTATTTTACAGAATTGAAATTAGTCACCAATATTTATTAAGTATGGCTTTGGTTTTGGTTCCTCGTCTTCTTACATATACATAGTCAAATCAACGAATATTCCAATCAAAATTATGAGCAAAATATTTTCTTAATTCATCTCTAACCACTCGCGGCACGGTTTGCATAAGATATGCATACTAAAAATTCCAAAGATCTATTAGAGAGAATGCAATATAAGACCCTTTCTTCTTGAAATAGTATAAAAAGATTTGACATATCTTCCCTTTACACTATTGAGTATGGTTTGAACCTTAAAAACCCTTTTTCAAACTTTCGGAAAAGGTGGGTCAAATTCTCAATTATATTTTATATTTGGACTACTTTCTTTTACATCTATGAATTATCTCTGTTAACAATAAGACATATATTTAAGAGCAGTGTTATTGAATAGATATTTACAAAGTAGAACATACAATACTAAAATAAGTCTATTATTGGTCATTTTAATCATCCATTGACGTTCTCCTTATGTAACACATATGTTACTTCCTGTCCAGACTGAGCAAAAAGTGTTTGGACAAAAGCTTTGTACGTTTTTCCTTCGCTAGAAGTAGATCATAGACTGAAATAAAGTAAATCAGAAGTTAATAAGGCAAGTTTGGAATAAAACCAATAGTTCGGGCACGGTGAAAAAGAACATAGTAGAACACAAAACACATATTTTAAACAAAAAAGGTCCTAGGCATAAATGAAACTTTGTAAACATGCAAAATATTTTGGCATCAAAATGAAAGCTCAAGGGCTTGGAAACACCGTGGAACCCTTGTTAAAAAAGAATCTAGAAGTATGATTAATTAATTTCAGTATGTTTATATAGTTAAATAGTCCGTTTGTGAGCTTATTAGAAAACACACCTTTTTTCTAAAAAGCTATGACTTAAAAAAATATATAGGAATGAACAAATTGGAGTAAGTCAAGTAAAATAAAACAGAATCAACCGAAATCTGAACACAAACTTCAAACTAGTTTAACCCCGCCACATTCTATATGTGCCTGTCCCAAGTCAGGAGCCTGTAAATGAGTGGTTGTTGTTTGTTTGCTACGTATCATATTTGTTTTTCGTTTTTTGTTTTGTATAAGGTGTTCTTTTGTTTTGCTGTGGCACCACTGTCCCAAGATAAGGGACGGTTTCTCGCCATCTAACTAGTTTAACCCCGCCACATCATGTATGTGCAGGTCTAAAGTCAGGAGCCTGTAATTCAGTGGTTGTCATTTGTTGCTGTGTTACGTATTTGTTTTATGTTCATTATTTTGTATATAAATTAGTCCGTTAGTTTTCTCGTTTGAATTGTTTTACATTTGTCATTTCTGGTCCTTTTATAGCTAATTATGCGGTATGGGCTTTGCTCATTGTTGAAGGTCGTACGGTGACCTATAGTTGTTAATTTCTTTGTCATTTGGTCTCTTGTGGAGAGTTGTCTCTTTGGCAATCATACCACATCTTTTTTTTTATATACACAATACAATGTACATCATGGGTTCATGTCAGAACTCTTGCGTCATTTCTTCTTGAATGAACCTTGCTTTTTCAAGAAATGAGAATCAAAACAATATGCCAGAATATATCCTAGAACTTTCATAAGCTGCCACTGTTGTATTTATTTAATCATAGTCGTCTATGTGATAGGCTAGACCTTTTCCTAAATTTATATTATGTCTAAATGAATATTTACGAACAGCCTCACTTTATACCAACAGTAAATCATCAACAGCTGTAAAGTTTTGTTAGAATGTGTTATACTTGATAAAATAATTTGCGCAAATATAAACTGCTTTTAAATAAAAGAAAATTATACAAGATTCATTAACTAAAAAATACATTCATTTCCAACTTTCTTTTTTAAAATAAATAAGTATAGCAGATTGGGGGCCTACATTATCTTGTATTATTTAAAAAAAATAAAGCAATAAGAATTGTTCTTTTGATCATTTATAAATCATGTATATGAATGTTTGCCATGGAAAAAAATCAGTAAAATATATTATAATTCAACTATTTTTTTTTCTCATAACGTTATCAATCGGTTCATTTCTGTCTTGACCTTTGGTGAACATTTAAATTCGTTGTTTACTTTTACCCACGAAATCAACGAAAATCGGTATCCAACGAATAGTAATGAATCCACAATAATTCAAACCGTACACTTAATAAAGCTTTACCATTTTGTCTTATGTCCTTTACTCTATTCTTCTCTCGTTCAATTATCGTAAAACTTATTGTTGAATGCCGTAAGGTGACCTATAGCTAATTTCTGTGTCATTTGGTCTCTTGTTGAGAGTTGTCTCGTCGTCAATCATACCACATCTTCTTACTTTTATATGTAACCAAAGATTGAATAATATATAGAAAAAGTCAAATTCGACTCAGTTCATTCGGTTTGCAATATGCTATCAATCGAAGAGACTTTAGATTCACAATAACTATGAAAATGGATAGCGAAGTACATTTTAACTGGCTTAGTCTTTTTTTTTAATTTTTGTATCAGTGTTCAGAAGTAAAGTTGATCTACGATAGGAAGTGTTTTACTTCTTTTCGAATTCTTTAGCTATCAAAGGAAACATAACTGCCCCAAATTCGATTGTTACAATCTTTCAATTAATATCGATAATAGAAAAGCTTAGTATTTTTCTATTGCTATTCTTTTCCAAGATATAGGAAAACTTACTATTACTGAGCATTTCTTAATTTTGATTCCGATGACCGAATTGAAATAGTTTTGGTGTAAATATACATCGTTGTCAATATAATGAAATTTTATGCAACTGTCATACAAGTGAGAGGTTTTGCTAGCTATAACACCAGGTTTAATCCACCATTTTCTACATAAGAAAATGCCTGTACCAAGTCAGGAATATGACAGTTTAGAAAATTAATTAATTCAATCAATCTTTTGTGAGATAAGTTTTATATATACGAAAAAGATCATAATACAAACGTAGGTAGTATTCTTGTTGTAGATTTTTCTTTTGGAAAATATTACTGAATCGTCTTAACGGAATACAATAAGTCAACTTCATATGCAAAATATGCATTTTCATTTATAGAAGTTTATTAAACAAATAAAGCAAAGAAACAATGAGTGATGGTTTAAAGTTTTTTACTTTTTTAAGGTTTAAATATTGATCCATTTCTATTCAAACTGATTTTGTACTTGAAACCTAGCCGTTGTTGTGACAGTTAGCGCCTTGAGTTTTTATTCTTTTCCGAACCTCGATATTTGTTTACTGAATTGTTAAAAAAAACAAGAAAATGACTCTGAAAATTTCTGTACAAAAGACGACAATTTCCTCTATTATACAAGGAATATGGGCATTTACAATTTTATTACATCCAACGATGATAGGTGAATAGGTAGTTTGTATTCTTGTAGACAATTATTGATGTCATATGAAAGAAATGCAAACTTAATTTTTTGAGCATATTTTGGCTATTTAAGCTTACAAGAATAATCCTTTTAAATAAAACAACCAAATGATATCGTCTCGGTTGTCCTTTTTAGCAATTAAGAAAAAACTGATATTTTCCTTATTCCACTTACTAAATGTCAACATACATGTATGCTACAAGAACTTCGGATTAAAAATCATCACTACGTCGAATTAAAGACAACGATTTATAACCGATGTTCAATTTAGCAAATCAATTAAAACACTTTATATTAACTAAATCTTATAAACGCAAACTGGAACGAGACCAAATATGTCGAACGAGTGAACTTCTCTTGCCATGTCATGTTGTCTTGGATTCGTACAATCTTAGCTTAAGAGTTTATGCAAGTGGCTGGTATTTAACTAAGCAATGAAAGT